AAGAATATACTATGTTAGACTGTATATTTCTTAAAGAACTGATCTTCTGGAGAGGGAAAGGGCTGTTCTAGCAACCCCAACTCAGGCTCTGTATTCTGTTCACATAGGGACTTGGAACAGGAACCAAAATTCCATACACTTAGCAAGTTTTAGAGAAATGATGTGTGCTTACTCTTTTAATGTTTTTATTCTTTTAAATATGTTTTTATTGATTTTTTAAGAGAGAGTGGACAGGAAAGGGAGAGAGAGAAACATTTGATGCGAGAGAGAGAAACATCAATCGGTTGCCTCCTGCACCCATCTTGACTGGGGACCGAACCCACAACCTGGGCGTGCCCTGACTGGAAATTGAACTAGTGATCATTGGACAACATTCAGCTGACTGAGCCACACTGGCTGGGGCATTGGCTTACTCTTTGTAGGCTCCCCAAGATTCAGTTGCCCCTACAGCACATGAGAAAAGACTGTCTAGGAAGAGGAGATCAGACTCCATAGTAAGGCTTGAGAAATTCCACTGTACTATCTGAAAGGTGAAGTGTTTCTGAGTCAGTCACTAAACCAAAGAGGTAGGAGATACTAATTCTTACTCAGGGGGCACTCGAGCTAGAGGAGAGAGCCTCCTGGGAAGACATTAACAGCCCATAGGTGATACAGGTGGAAGTTCCCCCAGTGCCAAGTCTTGACTGGAAAAAAGATCACCCAGGTACCTGAGCCCTGGGAGTGACTGTCTTGAACAGGGGAATCTGGATGAGAGGTACATTTTCTTTGCTGAGATGCTAAGACTTAATAGAGGGAGAATGTGGCTGCCATATTACTTTGAGATAGAAATGGATTTTTCTCTTTCCTATCTTTCCCCCTTTTCTCTGCACGCCCCCCCCCCCCATCTCAAAGTAGTCAGCTTTGTGGTGTATCTCAGGAAAAGGAGGTGGCAAGTCAGGAAAACAAATACACAGCCAGTCTCTTGCTTTTGTTTTCCAAAAGTATAAGCCTGCCCGGCTAGCATGGTTCAGTGGTTGAGCCTCGACCTATGAACCAGGAGGTCACAGTTCAATTCCCGGTCAGGGCACATGCCAGGACTGAGGGTTCAGTCCCCAGTGTGGGGTGTGCAGGAGGCAGCAGATGAATGATTCTCTCTCATCATTGATGTTTCTATCTCCCCCTTCCTCTCCCTTCCTCTCTGAAATCGATACAAATATATATATTTAAAAGTATAAGCCTTAGGGAAGGGGGATTAGGGTGCAGGGGCAGAGACAAAGTATCTGGGCCAGAAAACTAAAAGGAAGAAAGATTTGCAGAGCCTATAAAGAGATTCTTGTCTTTATCACTCCCTTCCCCTTTGAGAAAAGAGGCAGAGAGAGCTCTGTGGGAGCCCAAGTGGCATATACTCCTAAAAGTTACCCTTGGCTGGCAGGAAGACTCAAGAGAGGAAGGGCTGTGGGGAATGTCTAGGTAGTTGGACCAACAGGTGACCTTGGCAATGAGTTCCATACCCTAAGTGTGGTAGAGATGTTAAAGAGGACCACAGCACTTGAAAATACCCATGTGGGCAGAGGGCTCAGCAGTAACTGACAGAATCTAAGGACCTGCAAATAGATACTTTTAATCCATCCACATGCCTGAGCACTACATAAGATCCCCCAAATATGGCATCACCTGGGATAAGGGAAATGAACATCAAGAATGACTTATGTTTTTCTTGAAATATTAATGTTTATTGCATGTAAGTGGCTAATTATTTTGTATCTACAATTTGGTAATAAATTTATTTTGTATATTGTAAAAATAATAATAATAAAGAATGACTTACATTGTTTTCCCAGTAGCTTAGTCCAAGGAGGGATCAAGGTCACAAACTGAGTTCTAGAAATAGTCACAACTCTACTCATGGCTGCGATAGTCAGCTAATTGTAAACTTTGAGGTTCATCTTGATCGAAGGAGTTACTATCCTGTGTGGTAAGGAAAAGATCAACAGCTAGCAGGGCCATGAAACTACCCCCATCCACACTCCTGCAGAATATGGGGTCTAAAAATGGATCCAGTGCCAGGCTGGCATGGCTCAGCAGTTGAGTGTCAACCCAGGAACCAAGAGGTCACAGGTTCGATTCCCGGTCAGGGCTCATGCCCGGGTTTCGGGCTCCATCCCCAGTGTGGGGTGTGCAGGAGGCAGCCAATCCATGATTCTCTCTCATCATTGATGTTCCTATCTCTCTCTCCCTCTCCCTTCCTCTCTGAAATCAATAAAAATATATTTAAAAAGAATACATAAATAAAAATGGATCCAATGAAGGCTTTTGTAATTTCTTGGCACCAGAGCCTTCAGATAAGTTGAAGTCGATTATTGGAAGGATGTTTTCCTGGAATAATGTAAAGCCAAATATAACTGGTTAATATAAGTCAAATTTTCTATTTGATGAATAGAAACCGTACACAAATTCCATTTGAGAGTCAGTGGAAACCAGTGGGTAAGAAGGAATGTTCTCTGTTGTATGTTTGTTGTTGACTAGATATAATTACCCATGCCCTTTTCTGCCTATAGTGGCATTTGTGCTGAGTTATGGACAGGTTGTTTCAAACAGAAGAGCACATATGTCAATAAAAGGCCTCCATTGAGAAGGGCCTTTACTTAGATGGGGAGCAGACTTGTTTGATTTTCTAATTTCTAAAGTTTATAAAAGTCACATGACTTTAGATTTATTTAGTAAATGTTTGACTGTCAAAGAGGGACTTCTTAGATGGGTTCACATCTGAGCAGATTGAGGGGCTCATACTTCCAAGTGCTGATCTGTGTTGATTAGATCTTCAGGCTCAGAGACAAAGAAAGGAACCGGTGACACCTGAGGGAGGTACCTGTTGCTTTTCCTAAAGGTAGGCTGTATGTGGTGGTGGTGGTGGGAGTAGAGTGACATTGAAAAATAAAAATGGCAGACAGTTTCTAGTTACTATCTCAGTGGGAGTCAGGACCTATAAAGACTTCGAATAACGTGGTAACCTTTGATATTGTCCTTAAGTGGTTATTGGGCTATGCATCCCATTTTCCCCACAGTAGTCAATAATTTAACAGGGAAAAGGGACTATCTTCAGGGGCAAGTGAGTAAAGAAGGATTTGGGGAGACTTCATCCATTCTACAGCTAATTTGGAATGTAGAGACCTCTAAGGTAGGGAGGTGGCACTATCTGGAGAAACTTGTTCTTTCAGATTTATCCAGGAAGATCTCCATAGGTGGAATAGCTGGACCTTATAACCCTGAATTTCATTCCCTCAGTTTCCCTCCATTGTCAAAATTGGGATATGGGGATTTGAATTTATTAAGGGCAAGGTCTGGTTTCCTTGCATGTCTGGCAATATTGGGATTAAAAAACAACCTTTGAGAGGAAAGGTGCAGAGACAAGATGCAGGCCCATCATTCCACTCCATTTGGACTCGAAAGTTACATTTATTGATAGTTCTTTAAAGAGCTGAAAAAGGCTGAGGTTCTGAGGGCTACAATAGGAAAAGAAAAAAAGTGTTGGAGATAAGAGGTTGGTATGTCTTAGTGATAGGGCCCTTAGGCTGTGCAGTTGAACATATTAGCTCCGCATTTTCCTGCCTCCTGCCCTCAAGGCATCCTAAGGCTTAAGGTGCCTTGAGAAAGCAATCCTGCCCTTAGGAGCTTTCAGTCTAGGTCTGTGCCGCCAGACGCACCTTGAGGGGTTGAAAAATGCATTCTACCCCTGAGCACACTTGGGTTCAAGTTCTGACTCTTCAATATAGTTGTGTGAACTTGAGCAAGTCATGTACATTCTCCCCCTCCATCCCAGCCTCGGTTTCCTCTTCTGTGGAGCCAGGATTGTTCATGTAAGAATGACAGAAACAATTCTGATACAGGGCAAGAAGCAGTTCTTAAACAAAGTAGCTGCCCCGAGGTTAACATATAGCGAATGCTCTAAGGAGATAGTATTCATACCAACTAGACTAGAGGATCTGGGAGGTGGATGGTGGGAGATGGTGAGAGCAAGTCTCAGGGGGGGTGGAATGTGGTCTTTCCGCATGCGCACAGGCTAGGAGCCCTGCGGAGCAGCGAGGGGGGCGGAGCCAGGTTCTGAAAAGGTTGCTATGGCACCGTGGGGCCAGGGGAGGTTAACCGAACCCTTAAAACCATACTCCCTCCCCCACTCGCCACCGCCTGGGCCAAGGGCCATTGTTCCTGGCAAAATGGCGTCGGTAATCCCCCTCCCGGCCTGAGGCCTAAGTAAGGCAGAGGGTGGGAGTGGATCTGAAGGTGGGAACAAAAACTACAATTCCCAGAGTACCCTGCACCTGCCCGCGAGGCGCAGGGCACGTGCCCAGGCCTAGCGGTTACATGCCGTCAAAAATCCCTTTCATAGCTTCTCTTTCCCATCCCAGCTTTTGCTGTTGCTCAGCCCCCGCGCGCGCGCACTGCAGTCACCGGGGGTGGGGGGTACATGCCGTGGCCGTTGCCCTCGCAACGTAACCGGGAGACCGGTATTTGTAAATCTGTGCTTCGACTTCTAATCCCAAAGCCGGCAGGTATGGGTCTCGCGAGAAAAGACGGGAGTTGGAAAAAAGGGAGTTAAGGGTGGTAGTTGGAAAGGTGCGGGCGGGTACCACATCTCAGCGGAGCTCCCGCATTTACAGTCATGTGAAAAACAGTGGATGGAGGGCGGCTAGGAAGTTGTGTGTGCTTGGACTTTTTTTTTTTTTTCTCGGAAAGCAGCCGTGGAGAGAGAGCTTTTGAACACCCGGGAGGTGTCACGCGTGGCCCTTCTGAGATTTTTTTCTGGAGCCTTTCTCCTCGACGCGCATCCCTGTCTCCCGCTGCGCCGAAAAGGGCGGGGGAGGAGCGCGCACTCTCCAGTTGGCCAGCCACTCGGCACCTCGCCGCGTTCGGAGCCGATCGGAGCTGGGGCTGCTCCTTCGGCTTTCTCCGCCCCTCCCCCTCCACTTTCCTCCCCTCCCTTCCCCGCCCCCTCCGCCCCTCTCTCCGCTCCAACTGAATTCCCTGGCTGGAGTACGCGTGCGCTTGCTCAGCTCCCGGGCGAGCGCGAGCTCGGGCTCGCACCCCGCTCTCCGAACCCCGCCCGCTCCATACCTACCGGCGGTAGCTGGCCCGGTGGGCTCGCGGGGAGACGCTCGCGCGCGCACGCGCACACGCCGCGGAGCGGAGCGCGAGACACCGAGGAGGGGAGTAAGTAGCATCGGAGGAGGCGTTAGAGGAGGAGGCGGTGTGTGCGTATGTGTATGTTCTATGGTGTGGCTCATCGAGGGGCGAACGGAGGCTTGGAAGAGGACGGAGGAGAAGCGCAAAGAGTCAGAGTCTCCATCTGCTAGAACCTCTAATCTGGTGAGGGTCCCGGGCCGGGCAGAGCGCTGGGAGAGAGGGAGGAGGCCGGGGGGCGTGTCTGGGATCGGGCTGAGAGATGAATGGGCCGGGGATGAATGGAGGGAGGCAGCGGCGGCCAGGAGTCTGTTAGGAGTAAGCGCCCTAGTGGGGGGCGCGTTGACCGAGACGAGGTGATTGCCGTCCCCAAGAGGTATGGGACGAGGCCGGGCTCGGATCTTCGGGGTTGTCGGAGCCGTTGTCGGTATGAGCGAACAGGCGGAGAGGAGAATTAAGAGGGTAAAAGTGGGGAAGGGCAGGTCTGAGGTTGAGGTGCGGTTTTTTGTCTTTTTTGTTTTTCTTGGGGGGTGGCAACTTTGGGAGTTGATGGAAGACTAGGGGACAGGGAAGGTGAGGAGGATACACGGTGGGGCGGGAGACGGTTGACAAAGGGACCGAGTGATCATTTAAGTTAGATTGAGGCTACTGAAAGGGAAGATCGCTTCAGGTATGGGAAGTTGGGTTTTAGTGGGTAATGGGGTGGTGGAAAGCGGATTTCATTTAGAGATTCAGTTGATGCGGGCAGGTCGATAGGACTGGATCGGGGCGAGGGATACCGCGGACTCGTTGTGTAAGTGGGTTAGGTTCAAAGAGATTGAAAGGTGTTACTTGGGACCGGGTGGTGGGTTCTGTAACTGACAGGTTGGGGATGTGGAAGAGACGGTATAATGGGGTAAGGATAAAGTGGCGAGCTGGCTTCACTGTACTGGGAGAGGTTTTGTTTGACTAGTTAAGAGTGGTGAAACATTTATGTAGTGGGGTATGGCTGGAAATCCTGCACGTGTGTCTCCGTGTCTTGGGAGTTGATAGACCTTGTTAAAATGAAATTGAACCCTCAAAACAGATGCGAATGGTATGGCTAGTCCTTTAGAGTTACTGTTGACTGAAGCAGTTATACGAATAATAGCCTTTAAAGTTGTGAAAATGTTCTGTACAATACTGATTGCATCCAATATTGGGAGGCATTGTTACCTGTTTTTTCATCTCTAGTAAGTTGTAATACCAAGAGAACTTTTGAAGAGGTCTCAGTATATGACACAGAGCAGCAGGTGTCTTTTACACAGTCTCTATACTCTGGATTTACCAGTTTAAAAATTGTTTAAAACTCAACAGTGCAAAGGAAAGTTACCCTGCATTAAAGAGTAGCTAAAAGGCACTAAAGCTGATTTTGAGCGCTAAAATACTTTATATATGATTTTTGGTATCATTTTGAATTTACCTTGGTTGCAAAATAGGAACTTGATTTTTTGATGTGAGTTTAAATTACAGAAGATTACTTGAACATTTTGTTCTGGGAATACATTACTTATCTGGTAAGGATGTCTTGTGATGGTCTCATTCTGTTCTGGGTCAAGATGAATAGTTTATGGATTTTTAACTTTTCATGATTACTTTTTACAAACTTTACTGACACACATCCATTTATCTTGGAAATATTGCAAATTTGAGAACATTCTTTCATTCTGCTTTGATGTAAATACAATGTTCATACTCTCTTAGATTAAAATGAATACTACTTACTTATTAAGTGGCAGCCTGGAAATGTTGCACTCACTCTGGCAGGCCAAGGTAGTGTCCCCATTTTGAGCTAGATGTTCCTGGAGTGGAAGAACATTCAAGTCTTGAGGCTGGAAAGAATAAGCATTGTATATTTGGGGAGTGGAATGAGATAAGGCTAGAATCTTACATTGCGGTTAGGGTGAAGGGACTACTCTGAAGAGTTAGGAGCCCTTGACTCTTAAAGAAAGGAAATAACATAAGCAGATTTGTGGTGTTCATCTCACCACCTTTGCTTCTGAGCCTCCCCCCGACCCCCTAGTTTGGAATGCTCTCTCTCCATTTCCCTTTGAATTTGAATTTGAATTCAATAGCTATTTCTGAAACTCTTTCCTGCTCCCATCTTTTTTCCTTTTCTCAGCATCCTACACCAAGCTAGGTTAGGTGCCCCTCTTTAGTGGGACCAACCACCTTGTACATATTTTTATTACTGTACTTCTGTTGGGAGACAAGCAGGAAAGTTTTCCTTTTTATACCCGAGAGAGAAAATAAAGCTCAGAAAATAAGACTTGTCCTAGTAAAGTAAGTGGTAGACCCTGGAGTTTTGACTTCTAGACCAATGTTGATCCTCATATCACAAGTCTACATTCATTGATATAATTATTATGTAGTGTTTTAGGAGTTAAATTTCTGTAATGTGGACTTTAACTTTCTTCTGTAAAGTAGAGGGATTTCTTTTCATTAAGATGTCCTATCATTTAGCCAGTAAATGATAAAGGCAATGGTTGCAGTGAACCAGAATCAGAAGTAAAGAAAATAGTCATAAGGCCCTGACTGAATAGCTCAGTAGGTTAGAGCATTTTCCCCATAAGCCAAGGTTGCAGGTTCAATCCCCTGTCAGGGCACATACAAGAATCAACCAAGGAATGCATAAATAAGTGGAACAACAAATCGATGCTTCTCTCCCTCTCTAAAAATCAATCAATACTTTAAAAAAATTTTAATAAAAAAGAAAGAAAATAGTTAAGTAAAAAAAGAAAACATATTACTATCAGATTTCTAATCAGATAATTTACATAAAAGTAATGGAGGGCCAAAAGTTTTGCATTGTATATGTTTGGGGAGGCGTTGTGTATAAAAAAATTCCTTCCTTTCTCAGTCTCCCATCATAGTATAAGTAGACCAGCTCTATTTGCAGATATACTTTATTGTGTCTGTTGGCTAAAAGCCAGAATACAACAGAAGGGTGGGTCTTTTCCATTTGGTTTGAAATCATAAAATTTATGGTGCTGTTAGGAGATATTTGATGACTGGAAAGGACATCTGTAAGGCATTCTTTCAGAAATTCTCTGGGCTTCAAAAGTAGAATCTGATGCCATTTTTTAATTGTTTTGATTGAGCTTGTCGTGAGATTGTTGGATTTGAAAACATGTTGAGATTAACTTCCTACAGAAATGAGCCTTTAATGCCCCCTTTTTTTCAGGATTATATAATTTTTTCATGAGTTTTTTTAAAAATCCTCACCTGAGGATATGCTTCCATTGATTTTTATTGATTTTATATTTATTTTATACTTTTGTTGATTTCAGAGAGGAAGGGAGAGGGGGAGAGAGAGAGAATCATTTGATAGGCTGCTGACTCCTGCACACCCCCTACTGGGGTTTGACCCCCCCCCCCAACACATACACAACCTGGGCACGTGCCCTTGACTTGAATCAAACCCCGGACCCTTCAATTCCCAGACCAACATTCTATCAAGTAAGCCATTATCAAATGCCAGCTAGGGCATTTTTAGAGACAGAAGGGGGGGGGGGCGAGAGAGAGAGAGAGAGAGAGAGAGAGAGAGAGAGAGAGAGAGAAGAGAAGAGAAATAATAATAATTGATATGAAACATCAATCCATTGCCTCCCACAGGGGCCCCAACTGGGCATACAACCTGAAGCTTTTTGGTCTGTGGGATAACCTTTAAACCAACTGAGCCACACTGTCTAGGGTTCATGAACTTTTTTTTTTTACAAAGAACATCCCTGTCTTTTTTTTTATATATACATTTTATTGATTTTTTACAGAGAGGAAGGGAGAGAGACAGAGAGTTAGAAACATCGATGAGAGAGAAACATCGATCAGCTGCCTCCTGCACATCTCCCACTGGGGATGTGCCCGCAACCCAGGTACATGCCCTTGACCGGAATCGAACCTGGGACCTTTCAGTCCGCAGGCTGACGCTCTATCCACTGAGCCAAACCGGTTTCGGCTCATGCACTTTTGAAAATAGAAATGAAGCAACATTGTTTCCTGTGTTTTTGCCTGGTAACTTTTTACTGTGATAAAATCCACATAGTATAAAAGTTACCATTTAGAGCTTACAGACTGTGGCATTAAGTAACTTCATGATGTTGCATATCTAGTTCCAAACGTTTTTATCACTCCAAAAGCAAACCCTGTACCCATTAAGCAGTCACTCCCTGATGCCCTTTTCTCCCAGTCCCAGGCAACCACTAATATGCTATCTCTATGGATTTGCCTATTCTGGATATTTTGTACAAATGAAATCATATAATACATGGCTTTTTGTGTCTGGCTTCTTTCACTTTGCATGTTTTTGAGACTGGCATATATCAATACTTCATTCCTTTTTTTTAAATATATTTTATTGATTTTTTTTACAGAGAGGAAGGGAGAGGGACAGAGAGCCAGAAACATCGATGAGAGAGAAACATTTATTCAGCTGCCTCCTGCACACTCCCCACTGGGGACGCTCCCGCAACCAAGGTACATGCCCTTGACCAGAATTGAACCTGGGACCCTTCAGTCCACAGGCCGACGCTCCATCCACTGAGCCAAACCGGCCAGGGCTCATTCCTTTTTTGTTGAATAATATTGTATTGTGTGTGTATACTGCATTTTGCTTATTCATCAGTTCATAGGCATTTGGGGTCTTAACATCTTTTGACTTTTTTTTTTGTTTGTTTCCAAGTATCTTCATTTCAAAGTTTTAAGTTGTTATTTGCATAAAATCATTAAAATACATAGAAATATGCCGAAACCGGTTTGGCTCAGTGGATAGAGCGTCGGCTTGCGGACTGAAAGGTCCCAGGTTCGATTCCAGTCAAGGGCATGTACCTGGGTTGCGGGCACATCCCCAGTAGGAGATGTGCAGGAGGCAGCTGATCGATGTTTCTCTCTCATCGATGTTTCTAGCTCTCTATCCCTCTCCCTTCCTCTCTGTAAAAAATCAATAAAATATATTTAAAAAAATAAAATAAAAATAAAATAAAATAAAATACATAGAAATATGTTCTTTTCTTTTTTTGGAAATACGTCATTTTCATTGGATTTTGTATATTTGATTAAAAACTATTATATTTATTTGTTTACTTGTGAATTTAAATATCATATATATATATATTTTTTTAAAAAATCTTCATTGTTGAAAGTATTACATTTGTCCCCCTTTCCCCCCAATG